TTTTATTATATATCGATTTATTTTCTTTAAAAATTTATTTAAATAATCAATATTATAAAAAAAAATAAAAATATAAAACCGAAATTAAACATATTTATTTTAAATAAATATATATTTATAATTATATTTAAATATTTATTATAATATTTAATAAATTTAATTTATATAATATTTATAAAATATTAAATAAATAAAATAATCGAGCCTATATTTAAAATAAAAAACATAAAAATAATATATTTAATAAATTAAATTTAATAAAAAATAATCAAAACCAAAAATTAATTATAATTATTTTATTATTATTAATTAAATAAGATTATTCGAAATTAAATTAATTATATAATTAAAAACATAAAAACATATATTTACTATGAAATTTTGTAATTTTCTAATAACATTTAAATCGATAAATATAAATTTCGATTTAAATAACATCATATTCTAAAAATCGTCAAATTTCTAATAATGGTAAAATATTATATTTCCCCACCTGGCAAATAAGGATTATTAGATTTTATCAAAATTATTTTCCTCCTCCTCCTCCTTAAAATTTATCTATCAACCTAATTCCAAGAAAAATCTATAATTATAACGATTTTCACCTTTGGGAATATAATAAATAAATCCATAAAAATATAATAGGTAAGTATCGTATACCTATACGAAATACCAAAAAATACATCAATAAATTAAAATTATAAGCACTAACCATATGGTAGGCATACCACGATCTAGCACAAGATTTTATCATCGATATTTGTTACAACATCGACCCAATATTATTATTCTCATCGTAATTATTATTATCATTATTTTTATTTGCTCGAATATTCATTATCAATCCGGGTAAAATTCAAGATTTTGCCGTTATAAGCCCCGACTTTTGTCCGGTAAATTTTCGCAGCTAAAACCTATCAAATACGGAATATCTCACATATATCATTTTATTTCAAACCGATCCCTAGCAAATTTATATTTTCTCAATCAAATCTGTATCAAAATTATTTTTATCTGACCCATCTCTGCAACCTTCTCGCTGCCAGATTTCTTTTTTTTACTGCCACCACATGTATCTCTTTGATCCATGTAATCCTCTAAAACCGTTATCACCCAATCCTTCATTTTATTCACATACGTGCTAACATACTGTGGATGGAAGAAATCCTGCACCAGTTGGTATATGGTTTATCCCCTTATAATCCCATGATTTACAGTGTTTCATAGTTACCTAACGCTAACGGTTGCCAATTGGTGCAGGATTTCTTCCATCCACTATATTATTTGATGTTCAAATACCAAACAATTGAAAGCATATGCGCTCAACATTAAATAACTAATTTCAACATTTTCATGTCCAACTCATTAGTTCAATTCTTTGCAATCTCGCGATCTCCTGCAGTTATGTCAACGTTCACAAAAGAAAGGCTCACAACGCCAGGGGCAGGATGATGGAATGGAAGATAGAGAGGAAAAAGGCCCGAAGAGAAAGAACAAAATAAAAAGGCAAAGAAATGGATAGAGCAGAAGGACATAGAAGCACAAGACAAAATCACGCAGGAATATATTTCGCAAAAAAACAAGACGCATGGCAGAGAGGAATGCAATACAGCTTTTAGTACAAAGCTATTGTGAGACCAGCGGACCACCCATCAGCAATAGCAGAATCATTGTGGTCATCACTGCCACCTCTATCCAGCTGCTCACTCCAGGATCTAACTATCGAAACCGGAGCCAACGAATCATCCGCAGCCAAGTGGAGACTCTCCGTGAAAAGTTTTGTACCCTTTGGTGTCATCAAACATGCCTGGCTACTATGAAATATCCCAAATAAATGGAGATCATCGAACTAAATGAGAGTTTTTCTTCGGTCTTACACAACAGTTGTCCTCTGTGGCAGACACTGTGGTGCGAATTCAGTGAAGGGGATGGAAACCGAACCAGAACCAGAGTCACCAGTGAAGGCTGCAACCAGTTCTTCGGGGACATCAATCGGAATCAATTGGCACGATAATCCCCCTCCAAGCGCGCAGCTTGAGACCCGTTCTGACAGAGACCATCAAATAGCAGATCGTTGGAGACCGGAATTCGGCGACCCACATCTGCAGCTATTCCTGGTTCCCATGCCTTCCACTTGAGATGGATCCCAAGAACGAGTTTGGGGGGTGCTGAGTTGGCCTTGTCTGTAATTCCATTCAGTCATGCATGATTGTTGTATTTCATTTTGCTTGGAAATATCTACTGCTCATGTACATACACAAACAGAAAAGGCATGTACATGCATATGCACATATCTATATATTAAAGAAAAAAAACGATTTGCTTACAGATATACAAAAATACATGCACATATGAAAATACGTGCAAACAAACACACGCACATACATACATAACATATCTCACCAATCATATCATGACATGCCACTCCATACCACACCATGCCGTTTCATACTGTTCCATGCCGTTCCATACCGTTCCATACCGTCCCATACCGTTCCATACCACTACATTCCAATACATACAGTTACACCGCTACGTACCAATACAAGCCATTACATACCATCGTACATTACACACCATTGCATGCCGATGCTTGCCGTTACCTTACGCTGCATTGCAATGCAGTGCGTTACACTACGCCGTTACATTGCATGTCTGACATTACATTGCATTACGCTACATCACATTACAATACCATTACATTACACTACATTACATTACATTGCGTTACATTACATTGCATTACATTACTTTGCATTAATTACATTACATTAAACTACAATACAATACATTGCATTATGACATTGCAGTACGCTAAGTTGCATTACATATGCGCATGTACAAAACCTCCGAGAATCAAATTGCCCGGCCACAGTAGGTGCTTGTCTACGCATTGGTATTTGGCAAAAGTCAGCGGGCATTTTATCTACTTGTCTACTTCCACGCAGCAACACGTATGCGAAATTACCCACAGTAATTCAAATACAAGACTTGCATGCATGCATACAGACATAGACAGACATAGACAGACATAGACAGATATAGACAGACAGAGACAGACAGAGACGGACAGACGGATAGACAGACGGATAGACAGACAGAGACAGACAGACACAGACAGACACAGACAGACACAGACAGACAGAGACAGACAGAGACAGACAGACAGAGGCAGACACAGACAGACAGACAGAGACAGACAGACAGAGATAGACAGACAGAGACACAGAGAGACAGAGAGACAGAGAGACAGAGAGACAGAGAGAGAGAGAGAGAGAGAGACAGACAGACAGACTGACTGACAGACTGACAGACTACAGACATACATACAGACATACATACAGACATACAGACATACAGACATACAGACATACAAACATACAAACATACAAACAAACATACATTACATTACATTACATTACATTGCATTGCATTGCATTACATTACATTACATTACATTACATACATACATACATATTTATATACATACATATATATTTATGTGTGTGTGAGCGACGGAAAGTATCGTGTACGTTACGCACCCGATGGGGTATTTCTACCTCGTTCTCCATTCCTGTACTACTTTTCTTTGTCTTATTTTTTCGGTCCTAGCTTCGTTCCCCAAGGCCACGCTGTTGTTTTTAATAGTTAAATGCTTTGCGTGCTGTCATCCTCGTTCTTCTGGGTGTTGCTAGCTTTGACAACGGTACGCCTCGAGGCTAGTCTTCAGTTCGCCAAACAAAAGCCGTCACTCACCTATATAAATACAGAATAGGATGAGCATAATAGATAGATAGATATATATATATATACACATACAATATACACATATGTATACGTGTATATATATATATATATATACATACTGCATATATATATATATATGTACATACTGCATATATATATATATATTTATATAAGTAAATATATATATATATACACATATCTATACATATGTGAACCAAGAAAATGGTCGTAAATTACCACTATTCTCAGGACCGAGCTGCGCACCTTATGCCCAGCTGTCGGCCGCACGGCGCGATGGGTCTTGAGGCCTCTGGAGGAGAACCCGGTTTTTGTTTGAGGAGATGGGGTCCGGGGAAATCATCATAATTCCCCCGCGGAGTCAGTATAAAAATGGCAAAGAAGCTCTTTAAACTGGATGAATCCAGGGGAAAATTGCTAAAAAGTGATGGGGAACCAAAAAACGAATGGGAGAAAATCGCCATATCTATTTGGGTACTGTGTCCCCATGATGAACTGATAGTAGTAGGGTATGGTTCAAAATTATCAACGCCCAAAAGGGATGGTTTAACTTTCGTGAGCAGGACCACTTTTGTTGGTCTATTGGCGCGCCGATGTTGGCCCATACCCTATGTTATCAGTTCTCAAGAGCAATGAAATGCCTGTTTTGAATCGCATCATGCACACAAACTCACTGCCCCCGTAAAACTTCTACATTCATTGAAGGCCTTCAATAAGGGTTCAATTCTCCCACCCCCGCTAAACTTCTACATTCATTGAAGATCTTCAATAAGGGTTCAATTCTCCCACCCGCATGAACTACATTCATTCAAGAGCTTCAATAAGGGTTTAATTCTCCCACCCGCGTTAAACCTCTACATTCATTGAAGGCCATCAATAAATAAGAGTTTAATTCTCCCACCCCAGTTAAACTTCTACATTCATTGAAGATCTTCAAAAAGGGCGGGTTTAATTCTTCCACCCCCCTTAAACTTCTACATTTCCCACCGGGGTTAAACTTCTATATTCGTTGAAGATCTTCATTGATGATGATGATGATGATGATGATGATGATGATGACGATGACGATGATGGGGAACGAACCCGCACAGGTCCCTCTGCTGTGCGTTCTGATCTAGAACATGAAGTTAACCATAATGCTAAAATATTCAATTTTTACCACGTTTTCAGCTCATACGAAGAAGGCGGGCCAACATGCGCGGGCAAGACGAGGTGTTTGGCCGTAACTATACTTATAATAAGGATTATAGGCCATACAAGTAGTTATTGGAGCTATAAACCAACTTAGCTATCGTTTGGGGGCCCCACCTGGCGGCATTCACAAAGGCCTTGGCACGGCTCCCGGTACGGTCCCGGTACGATGTCATCAAACATGGCTGGGAAAGCCCCAAACTAAACGATCATCTGGAGGTTTCCTGGAGGGGTACCCCAATAGCTCGCTGGATGGTGACTATTTCCATGGGAAAATCGGATGATGATTTGGGGGTACCCCTATGACTTAGGAAACCTCCATATACATCGAAAAATACAGGAAAATCATCGAACTACATGGGGAAATTTCCAGCAAGCTACGTGTGAAAAAAAAAGATTGTGTCATGATAGGTCCAATTCGTCTCCTGTCAACACTCCCATGCTTGTGTTTATACGTATTTATATCATCCATAGTCATCACTGTAGTAAACATTCAATAGCAGGGGGTCGCTAGTCTGTAGCAAACATGAACACATTTCACGTCAAATGTCATAGAAACATATAAACAAACTGTTTTTCTAAAATCATTGTCTGCCATCAATTTGAGGAAATTCTTGGATTCCGTTGCAAACCACGCAAAGCACCTGCTGATCATCAACTGATGCTAGGGTTCACAATGCCCTATGTTCAGTTTATTTTCTTCACATATATACACCTATTGTGGTCTGAAGACAAACCTTTGCGCCTATCTCCCCTGTAAAAAGATTTTGGCAGCATTGGGGATACCAAAAACTAGCCCCCTTGAACTCTTTAGGAGGCGGGACTTCATTAACTGACAAGCGACAAGCATGTGCGACTAAATTAGCAACCCCTCACATAGGAAACATTTTTAGCCAAAGCTGGCCCAACATGTCAACCTTTGAAATTGGGAAGGCTTGGCACTCGATGGCATGGCCCGGGGTTCTTACCTTCCCTGTGTTGTTCCCCTGAAAACTCTCGTCAAGTATGACCCGCACCGATTCCTCCAGGTCTTTTTGAGCCCTGCAGTGGTCTCAGTTGCTGCGAATCTGCAAATCTGACCAGCGGAAACCAGCGGAAACTGGCTGATTCTGCGACAAAACCAACCATTTGTGTTAGGTTGGCCTATGGGAATCTGATGAACGTCCCCTTTTCTGAGTGGCTTCTGTCATCAGAAAGCAACAGCCTGACGAAAAAAATCTGACAACTTGGCACGGTATCAATGATGGCTTGAACATTGACAGCATCCCGGTCCTTCTGGCACCACAATTGGATGTCATTGGGCTGGATGGCGAAGGTCTGGCATGCACGAGCCGATGATCTGCGACTTGATCTACTTGCACACATTAGCGCAACCCAATCTTCGCGTTTCGTGAAGTGGATGAACATCAGCCACTAGCTTTGCAAGAGCAAATGAGCTGCCACCAACCTTGGAGTCACGTGCGAGGTCAACCATATCTCCATGAAAGAAATTGAATTTGAACACCAAGCACGGCCCGCATCCCAACACCCAACAGATTTATTAGTACTGCACCTGGTCTGGACGTACCAAAATCATGGAACATCTACCCTCTGGTTATGACTAACAGTTCGCCATGGAAAGATCCAGCCATTTTTCAGTTCGGTAAACCCGCTATTTCTATGGACCATCTATACCATGGCTGTTAAATAACCAGAGGGTAGATTTGAAACATCCCTCCCTTGGCATACCTGGGCTGTGAAAAACCCCAAACCTGGGACATCTGAACACTTTCAGCAAGGCCCCAGCCCAAAGGCCCCACATCTTGTTCCAAGTTGGTGACCACGGCGTCGATCTTAGAAATTGAAAATAAGAACAGCACAAAAGATAACATGACATGAAATACATATACCATAAGTTAACTTATCATAACAAAACATAATCAGATATTGTGCAGAGTATGTATTCCTGCCCTTTCCCCTTGCTCGTGGATTCGCTGGGACCGTGGCAACAAACAAGTTTTGATTGTATGGTTTCAACACGTCCAAAAAAATATTGAGTATTTATGACGTGTTGAAACCATAGAAATACCATCATTGAATGATCATTCTTGAGTTCAATACCATCATTGTATGGTTTATTGTCCTAAATATGTTTCAAAGTGGATAATTAAGACTGGAACACCAACCAGACTTCTGAAAATAAATTGCCACATGGCCATATATCATTTAATTCGTCTCCCCACCATATTCTACCCATTATACAATAACACAATAATAGGTTCTATATCCCAACACCCATGATCGGTCGTAACCATAAAAATAAGTTGTGCTATTAAACCCCATTGTATTCCCATTATGTATATATATATATATCCCTATTTGGGGGTGTCCTAAAATGGGGGCACCCCCAAATCGTCCAAGTCATTCGACAATTTTGTTGAAATCCATGGCTTTGGGAATTCCCCCGTTTACCCAGCCCAAACCCACGAAATTCCCATTTCTTGATGGTTTAACCATGTTCTGGTTGGTGGTTGAGCCCTACCCCTCTGAAAAATATGACTTCGTCAGTTGGGATGATGAAATTCCCAATATATGGAAAGTCATAAAAGCAATGTTCCAAACCACCAACCAGTGTTTCACCTTCATTTCCAGCCCTGTTTTTTGGCTAACCCCAACCAGACAACTTGAGGCCAGTGGCCCACCCAGCTCGAGGCATGGCGTCCGTTGGGCCTCGCTCAACGTCTTGGCTCTCGCGACAGCTTCGGGGCTCTGAGCGCCGTTGCGCAACACCAAACTCGGCATGGCACGGCAGGTGACATGGCAACTGCTGGATAGGTGTGTGGCGAAAGGGGATGTGTGTGTGTCTGTATCTGTATATATATATATAATTATGTCCATATCCATATCATATCTAGATCTATGTATATATATATATATATATGTGTAATTATATGTATATATAAATCATATACATATATGTATGTAGGCATATTTTTTGGGGTGGTGGTATCAAAATTGACAATTTGAATGCTTGAAAAAAGACCAAATTGACGAGACACAATTTCTCAAATAAGGGGCACATGCTCTTCAGATTGGGGGGCTTAGCTGTAGAAACACCATCATCATCATCTGTCATCTGCTTCAAGTCAATGTCACCATTTCAACCTTATCTGGAGAACATACCTTGTTGCTCATATAGACTGTACCCATTAAACATACGACACCTTTATTGGTTAATTCCCAAGTTTTCACGGTATCGTCATTTTTGGTGTTTTCATCACCATGTTTGACAGTTAAATCCACCATTTTCATCATGAAATCATGTGACATCTAGTTTTTGATCGTTGGATGTTAATGTTTGATGGTGCCCAGTTTTCCACGGCTGAATCCCAATGGTTCAGAAAACCAACATTTTAAACATCTAAATCCCCATTTAAATGGTGAAACCCACCCTTAAATCCCATGAAGTCACATTGAACCACCACGAATTCGACCCCAATTCTACTACCATAAGATCACCATCATATGAATCCGCATAGGCGAAATCCCATGATATTTCCATTAAGTCCCATTATTTCCCGAGGATAATCCAGGATAATTAACCATAAATAATCTATTAAGTCACATTAAGTACCATCATATTCCCATTATATCATGATTCAATCATCATTATATACATCACCGTCATATCCACTCAAATCCCACTTAAATAGCCATAAAATCACCATGAATCACCTTGAATCCCATTGTATTCCCAATTATTTAGATATATCACTGCATTAAATCACCACTATATCAATCCCATTAAAATAGTTACTTTCTTTTTACATACATGTATGTATGTATGTATATATATATATATGGATGTCATTTTTGAGGGATATATATATATATACATACATATAACCGCTATATAATCCCACTATATCTGGTTGGTGGTATACCTACCCCTCTGAAAAAATTGAAAGTCATAAAAGTCCATGGTTCCAGTGGTTCCAGTCACCACCAATCAGATAGGACCAGCTGGATACCTACAATGTGGGGCCCTCTAGTTATAAGTTGGTTTATAACTCTAATAACTGGGACTTATGGTAGATACATCTATAGTTAGTGGGATTATAAACCAACTTATAGCTTAGCTAACTATGGGGGGCACCACCATTGTAGGATAACCCAAACGCCATCTCCATGTCGCGCAACGGCTCCGCCACGGGCTTCAAGCGCCAGCCCTGGCAGATCCGCTGCAGCTGCGCGGCGGCGCCCCGGCCGTCGCTGCCGGCGGCGATGGCGCAGCCGTAGGGGCGAGCGGTGAGGCGACCCAGGGCGCCGTAGTAGGAACGGTCAAAGAACTCCTTCCTGGTCCATGGGTTTCATGGGTTTCATGGGTCAAAACCATGGTAAAAGCCATGAAACCATGGTCAAAGCCATGGTAAAAACCATGATTTTGAGATTTGATGGTGATTGAATGATTGTTGATGGGATTTTGATGGTGGTTTTGATGGTGATGGGATTTCATGATGATTCAATGGTGATTTGATGATGGTCTAATGGGATTGACTAGGGATATACCAGAAAACAATAGAATCATCAGGGTTGCTCTGATGCAACCGCAACAGAATTTCCCCAGGATACCGCAGGTACCTGCGGGAGGAGTGAAACTACCAATCTTCCACCCTTGTGGCATCTACAATCGCTTGGAGCAAGCCTGTTTTTTTTGGGTATAGCGATAAAAAAGATGGGGATCGGCGGCTGTGATTTAGAATGCATATGTGGATATATTATATGTAGATATAGTTACAATTTCAGATGTTATTGGGATTTATTGGGTAATTTGTGAAATTAGTCCAGTACATGTAGAGACAGGTATCACAGCACAGGTAGATCACGGTAGAACACCTGTGCATGTTAAATTCGTGTTGGAACTCAGATAGCCCTCAGACCCCAAACGAAAAACCCGGCGAGCCACATCTCACCACTCATGGTCGCCAAATTTTCCGGTGCGCAGAAGAGGAATCCGTCGGCACAGAGCAACTGTGGAACCTGCGCTGGCACCACTGCGATAGATTGCAGTGGACGGTTCTCGGCTCAAGAAAACCAAAGATCAGAGGGCTGAAGATCGCTGATTGTTGCACTTGGAGATTAAATATTTATATAGCCACTGTATTTAATTATATTTACACAGGACACAGGAATACACATTATATAATATATACAAAATATGAACAGATACTCCTGTCCTTTTAGCATCTCATGACATTCCTGATGCAGCTGCCTTCGCGTATCCATGCGTCTGGCTGTGTATCTACCTTAGCACATCTGTCCTTCAAGAACAACTGCGAAGGACAAGTTACCCTCTGGTCATCAAACATGACTAGCTGGAAAATCCATGAAAATCCATCATTTGTTGATGATTTTCCCATCAAAACCATTCAAAACCTCCATTTACAGTGTATTTTCCATTGCCACGATTGATGACACTGCCCACTGTTTTCCTCGCCTCGCTGACATAGACGGGAGAAATCGTGCATTTCTTTGACTTCTGAACATTTCAATGTTTGACCTACCATCACATTATACCACCTAGTACATGTTTGGTACATTGAATAATAGCCCCCCCGCATCACCTTCCCCCCCATGTTTTTCTAAATTAATTACTACTAGCTCCTATATTATGTCTCCATATTCAGGGCCACCACAGCCCCACCTGCACTTCATTGGCCCGCAAGATGTCAATCACCAAGTCGCTGGAAGCCTCCATCTCCAGCGCCGCCTGTTTGGCACCGCGGTGCAGGGCTTGAGCCATTTGCTCCGCCATGCCGGTTCGTGAGTGCCTAAGCATTGAAAATCGACCCAAAAAACGCCTCTGGTTTCAATTCAGATTGAGATTAGTATAGATTAGTGCTATTATGATCTATTATGAGCTACTATGTGCTCATGTTTGTTGGTGAAACATCTGAAAAACACTGGAATCTGGTTGCTTTGGCTGTAGGAATGGAGTGTTTGTCCATCATCCATTAAGCATGAGCAATAATGATTTAGCCGTCAATCACCAACATCGGTAGCACCCGGCTGCGGATGGGGGCTGCGTAACAAGGACGAAGGGGTGGTCAACCTGCTGCTCCATTCCAACTTGGATAGGCACATAGAAAATCACAGTGGAAAAGGGCAGGCTGGGCCAACAAATTTCTGTTACAGTAATTTTGCTCTATGACACCCCACACTCAGCTGCCACAACAGACTTGGACCACTATCATTCCGGGGTGCCAAACAATCAAAAGCCGTCTCGCAGCTTCTGCCTGTGGCACTGGTAACGCTGCAGCTGTCAGCAAGCCCGCAGGGTCGTTGGGACATGCAGCAAGCCGAGCCCAGGGCAAACGCATGGCCGTCAGCTGGATTAACCAAGTTGCGCCAGGGATGTTGCTTGATGACCCAATGACGACCGAGACATGGTGTTGAAAGTCATCCTAGTTAGCTTCTCAAACGAAGACCATAGTTGTAAATTCCGAGCCCTTGATCCAAGATGCATAGCCTGACATCTCTTCAGCCCCTTGGAACTTGTTACACGAATGGAGGCTTTGCACAGCACCTTGAGTCATGCTCATCGCATGAAGTCAAGAGTGTTCGTTGATAACCCACTGATGGTCTCCAAAATGGTACAGTATTCCAACCATCAAGAACCGGCACAATGTGACTATATAAATTGAAAAAATCCCTCCCAAAATTGCTGCGGAGCAAAAATTAGGAGATGGTGGTTAATTATGTTGTTCCTCCATCAAAATCGCCATAAATAATCATAACATATCATGATTAAATATTAATTAGGGTATATACCCTCTGGTAAATCAACAGTTCGCTATTGAAAATGGCACATTTAGTTCGTTGATTTACCTTTCTTTAAGATGGTGATTTTCCATAGCTCTTTTGTTTGTTTACCAGAGGGCAATAGCCATCGATGATTACCAATAGCTATGTTATCCACCCATGTGGGAAGGGTTTATAGCACCTATTTATGGCTAATTGGTGGTTTCAACCCCTCTGAAAAATATCAGTCAAATGGGATTGGGAAAAAAAGGTTCCAAACCACCAACCAGATGGTGATTTGTGGGGGGTGGTTTACTATTGTTCTACCCACATTATATCCAATTTTCATTCACAGCCCGCCAGGCTGATTTCGGACTCCGGACGCGTGGTGTCACCAAGGCTGGCGATTTGCATTCAGGCCGCGCCCCTCGATGGGACCTCAGGAATTGGTGGTTGGCTGTATCTGGTTTGGAAGTTACCCTCCAGTAAATTAACATAGACCCTGCCAGATAGGGGTTGGGAGATTAGTTTCCGTTGAAAATGGGTAATTTTCAGGGTCTATGTTTATTTAACAGAGGGTATATATATATATATAGTAAATGGATGTAAATGGTAAGAAACCATTATATAATTATTTGGACCAATTCAATCTAGTTCACCTATGTTATTCATTGACAAGGTTCCCTTGTTTAGTGAGCCACGACTTCTTTTGTAATGTTTTCCATGATGTAACCACAGTTTCAGGTGATGTTTAAAGTCACAATGATAGTAGAACTAGAGGAACCACTAAACAAGCAAGAGTGCATAAGCTACCTGCAACGGGCCCTTTAAGCAAACAGTGTGACACATTCACGCTTCTGCATTGTTTTGTCAAGTGACGGCTCTCAAGCTCCGCACATCATCCACCGAAGTAAGACTCAAAGCTGTGTTTTTGAAAAAAATATGTTTCAAAACGTGGCTGACAATGTCAGCTGTCAAATATTCTATAAATATTGTCAAATGGTAACATGGTGATTCAAATTTTCAACTCCCAGGCTTTTGAGGCCTGAGTTCTTCAGTAGCTGCCAGCATTAGATCATCTCGGCAACCCGATGCGACAACAACTGCAGCCACAATGCATGAGGGGCTCTGTGCAGGCCTCCGGGGAAACGGCAGGGTTCATCTGCAGGTGCAATGTTGAACAAGCCCTAAAAAAACCTCGGTGTTTATAGACCATTTGTACAGGATGGTGCCCCCCAGTGATGTTTGTTGGTTTATAACCCCCATTAACTAGTTCGTTATATCTGCCATAAACCATAGTTTAATGGGAGTTATAAACCAACTTAGCTAACTATGGGGCACCACCTTGTAATTAGTTGTGCATTTATTCAACTTCAGTCCCAACAAATTGGTGAACCAAAGATGGAAGTAATTATTCGGAATGCCAGGCGAGATGTGATGTCGGGAACATGGAAGAAGAGGGCGATTGAAATGAGTGAGGTGGAGTTATATATATTTTAGTGGAGTGACTTAGGTGGAATGAGCTGGGTCCGCCTCATCTTTTGCTAAATCAAGAAGAAACTCCAGCTAGCTACGACTAGCTTTCGTGATTAATATGCTACACACAAATCTAGCATCTATCACTCACATGCGCACCCAAGTAGGTCAATATTGCTTTTCTGCCTGTATCTACTCCGGGATGGGTAGATACTAAATACATCATTAGTCCTCCTTGAGTAGATAGAATCATATGGAACTTTCAAGAAATCATCTACTTAGTTGGACATAGATGATTATGGATGATCATAAATTATGACGATAGATTATTGAATTATATACATTAACCTAATTACTAACTTAGTTAGCATGTTCTATCTACTTCAGGATGATTATACATACACTCATGGGGATCGGTCAAGTCACCTGAAAAACCCCTTCTGTTTACATCAAAATTTAGCTGGGATTTATGGATGTTCATCCGCCTAACAAATGGTATTTATAGGATTTTATAGGTATTGATCCATTTTGATATAGCGAAACAACCGCCAACAACTCGCCTCACCACTCCGGATCCGATCCTGAAACGGCACAGCAGCTCCTAGCCATCAGGCATTTTTTTTTTGCGATATTCTTTTTGGGAAGTTGGGATGGTTTGGGAACCTTTTTTTGGAGGATTTTCAGGGAACTTCCACTTTCCCTTGGTGAATTTGCTGGAAACTTCGAGACTTCCTCCGAATAAGAATGGGAAGTGGAGATGAAGCGATGAGCCTACCATTAACACAAGACCGAGGGTATAGCAACATCCAACATCACCCAAAAATGCCTGGGATATCAGCAGTACTGGAACAGCAGGCAACAACATATGACCACCAACTGTCGACTCATAACTTAGAACGATTTAACAATATTTTTTTCTTATTTATTTAACGCGGAAGGATACCTAATTTACCCTCAGGTCAAACTAACTATCATCCTGGAACTCAAAGTGCGAGTTCCGGATCGCTGATTGCAGGCTTGTTGCGGGATCATTCCTTCTTTTTCCATCTTTTTCCCCTGACCGAAACATCAAGCAAATCTTGTCGTCAACCGGTGGTTTCAGACCGAAGGCTTCCCCCGGAGATCGGAGATCGGAGGCACATCTCAGGGATTGACGCCATGTTACTGGCAATGTGACCAACCACAACAGTACAGCATCTAACAGCTACCAAGCCTACTGGACGTTTCCAACTGCACAAATCCAATCTGGTTGGTGGTTGACCTACCCCGAAAAATATGAAAGTCAGTTGGGCTAATGAAATTCCCAACATATGGAAAGTCATAAAAATGTTCCAGTCACCACCAACCAGCAATGATAAGGGCCAGCTTAACTGTCAACGTCCCCGCATCAGTCAGATCCAGCTTCCGGCACTCCTTCCAAGAAGGTCGGCAACTCCTGGGCTTGGCAACTCTGTGGCGGAACTTCATTCTGGTCCTGAAGATTTCTCACTGCCATGAAGATCCATAAAGGTTTCCCTGTTTTCGGCCTTTGCTCATCCCTTAGGGCCTCGAATTTCACCCATTTCTAACAAGGACGGCAAACCAGGACGGCTCCTGTGAGGATCGGTCCAGCTTTGTCAAGGCCTGATCGGTGGAATGGACAGGCGACCCCCAAATGAACACATGGGAAAATATGGGAAAATCAATGGAAAAACATGTTTGAATTTACAACATTTTACAACTCATATCTGAATTTTCATAGTTTACATGGATATTGGGGGACCTCAAAAAACAATTCGTTTTTCACCAAACGCGGGTGCTCTCCGCAACACCAAGATGTCCACCAGGCGCCTCGTTGATCCTGGACAGCACACCCTTTACCTTGGAAGGGGGGGATACATGGGGGATACCACCAAATGCTTGGTTTCTGGAGGAAAATCCCATGGTTTATGGATGGTTTATAGCTGGAAACTTGGATTCAAATGGATGATGACTGGAAAGTATCCGTATCATTCCGTATCATTCCGAATCTCAGGAAACCTCCATATGACTTGTTGAGACTCTTTTTTTCGTGATTCTGGAACTTTGGCATTGGGCCACTAAAAGAATCCAAGTTGGTGAATTCCAACCTTTCCAAAATCCCAATAACAATGGTTATACACCCATTCAACCACTTTAGTCATTGGTTTGAAACCATGGTTAAATCACCAAAGAATCTTTTTCGGAACTCTTGGAGCTGGTGTGAACCACCCGCACTTGGCCCGGATGGCGAAAAAGCGATTCTTTGGACCGCGGGTGATTGGTTGTCTTTTAGTGCTTGGTGGTGCAATAACCTACCATTGGTTGGTAATATACTATTAATATATTGTTAATATTATAGTGACGGACAATCACTTAGAACGTATTTTGGAAAAAAAATCTGAATATTACTGTTTTTTTTACGTTCTAAGCCTTGCACTTAGAACGTCGAAAACCATACACTTAGAACGTCCAAATATCAAGATTCATCACTTAGAACGTACCGGGGATTTAACACTTAGAACGTGTCTAGGTCACTGATGATAGTGGAAAGGCTTGTGAAATCTCTTATCTCTAAGTGTTGGATCCAGCAGCTAATTCCGTAGGAAGCATAGACATAATTTCGTACCATTTGGCTTTTCCCTCCCATATGATGTGCAAATATTGGCGATCTTTTATCTCTGGAACACTATACCTTTTGGTGCTTTTTGGGGGTTCTGAGTTCTGATGTTCTAAGTGTTGGACTCAGCAGCTAATGCCGTAGGAAACATAGACATAATTTCGTACCATTTGGCTTTTCCCTCCTATATGATTTGCAAACATTGGCGATCTTTTATCTCTGGAACACTATACCTTTTGGATCCTTTTGTTGCTTTTTGGGGGTTCTGTCGTTCTAAGTGTTGGATTCAGGAACTAATTCTGTAGGAAACATGGACATAATTTCGTACCATTTGGCTTTTCCCTCCCATATGATTTGCAAATCTTGGCGATCTTTTATCTCTTGAACACTATGCATTTTGGTGCTTTTTGGGGGTTCTGACGTTCTAAGTGTTGGATTCAGCAGCTAATTCCGTAGGAAACATAGACATAATTTCGTACCATTTGG